CCCCAAAACCCCAAAACCCCAAAACCCCATATGATTGTGATACATTCTATTTGGAAGAAATTTTATTATCATAATAACTAATTTATCCAATTATTATAGTAATAAATGATCTCTAAAAATCTAGGCATCTATAACTATTTAATTGAAATGCTTGAAAAATTAGAGTTATATCATTAAATGTCGTTGAGTTATGACAATGTTATCAGAATAATCATAGTCACATTCAATTTAATTTAGATTTTTCATTGTAAAATTTTTAGTTATAGTTAGTTAGTTATTTCAACAAGTAATTTAAATTTTTCGTTGCATATTGAAAGGTAATTGCTGATTGATTGCATATTATGGCTTCTATGTTCTGTATTTTATCTATTTCAAAATCAGAGAGCAAATAGGTTCGAGACAAGGAAAATTTAACACAATTTATTTTAAGAAAGTATTTATGTTCCCTCAGGTTGATGAGTAAAAGCAAAAGATCATTTTGAAAGTAAACTAGAAGAGTTGAGACAGTTATAGATTTAGGGCGAATTGACATCAGTAGAAATTGTAAGCACATACTCTTAAAGATGCTATTCTATTGACAGATAACTTAATTTGGTTACAGAAGAACTCTACGATAAGGCTCTACTTATTGTTGCTGAAAAAGATATCCTCATGTAAAAAGCAAGATAGACAAAAGATTTCACATTGATAGGTGCTTTTCATGGCATTCCATTTTCATTCAAGGACTAAATTCAGATTAAAGGAGTTGCATCAACTGTAGGGTGTAGCTTTCTTACTAACAACATTGACTAAGAAGATGCAAATATTGTAAAAGTTATCAGATAGGAAGGTGGAATCCCATTTGTTAAATCTAATGTACCTTAAATGACCTTGTCTCTGCATACAGATAATCCAATTTTTGGTTAAGCTTAGAACCCATATGATGAAACAAGAAATACCGGAGGTAGTTCAGGTGGAGAAGGTGGGCTCTTAGCTGCCAGATGTAGTCCTATTGGAATTGGTACTGATATACTCGGAAGTGTTAGAAATCCAGCATTATTCTGTGGTGTTAATGGTTTTAGGCCAACACCGGAAAGATTTAGCTGGCAAGGTTGCGGACTTCCTGTGAAATATGGGCTTACTTTTATGGGAATTAATTGCCCTACAGCTGGACCAATGACTAAAAATGTTGAGGATCTTATTTATGC